CCGTGACTCAGCGCTTCTCGCGGGCCGCCCGGCCGCGGGCCGCGGCTAGGCGCGGGCCCCTCCCGCCTCGCCACCCCCTCTCGCCACCCACGCCCGCCCCCGGCCGCGGGGCCTTCCCTCGCGCGGCCGCCGCTCGCCGCACTCCGCGCTCGCCCCGCCACAGCGCTGGTCATGGAGCCCCGGGCCCCGCGCCGCCGCCACACCCACCAGCGCGGCTACCTGCTCACCCGGGACCCGCACCTCAACAAGGTGAGCCCGAGGTCCCCGCGAACCCCCGCTATCCCCCGCCGCCCGGCCCCCGAGGACCCGCATCCCCGCCGAGGGCACGTCCCGCCGGGGAGGCCCTCAGCATCCCTACGTGGGACCAGGGGGAAGATGTAACTTGTGCCGGCGGCTTCTTTGTCTGCCCTCCTCGCATCCCGGGAAGGGCGGTGCGGACCAGTGTTGGGAAGGGAGCGTTGGTTTGTATTTTCCCCCCGTGAGGGTGGCAGGCGGGCGGCCAGGTTCAGCCGCGACGTGCCATCCTCCTCGTACAGGTGACTGGAACTGGCAATGACTCGGAGACTGCTGGGGAGACAAGTGGCCCTACTGGTCCTGCCTGAACAGAGACAGGCTCTGAGGGTCTGGGATCCCATCCACAAGATGTGGGGACCCAGGGTCTCTTGGCTTCTGGGGTGACAGGGTTGAGAGGCTTGAGGATGCGTGGTGGGTGGTTTCTCTTGGGCCCTGCATGCGTGCCTTGGCGGGGAAACTTAGATGATACTGTGGTAAAGCCGTTTCTTTTCTTTATTTACTTATTTATTTTACCTTCTAAGTTCAGACTTTCGGGAAGTTAATTTTTTTTTTTAACCTGTCCTCTCTTTTTTATTGAAAGGAAATTCAATGAATGCCCTAGTTAGAGTTCTCTTTTTCACGCGCTGTGGCATCTGAACTCCCACCCCATACCCAAGATCTCTCCTAAATGAAACACCTTAGACATGACCATTTTGCTTTTGTAAATAACTAGGTTTATTTTACAGCGTGGTTTGTCGTTAGATTGGTGTGTGTGTGTGTGTGTGTGTGTGTGTGTTTGTGATATTTCCTATTTATTCATACATGGGCATGACAGGAGTATCAGCATGGAGGCCTGTTAAAGTCTTTTGGGTTCTCATTTTAATGAACCTCTTTTTTTCATCAAGTTGTGGATTTCATCATTCCTCTCACCAACAAAGTCTTATTGTTGGTGACTTTTGATCATTATTATTAACTTAAAGACTTGTGATTATTTTATACATTATAGCTAGTTTGAGTTTTCAATTTTTTTGTAGTGACTTTTACAAATCTTTGATTATTTAATATTTATGATTATATAGTATAAATTTTTATGTTTTCTTGCTTATTTTTACCTCAAAATAAATTCAATTGCTAGTTTGACTTTTTTTCTTTTACTATTCTGTAGGTTGAAGTCTATTTTTACTCGAACAAAGGTAGACTTTGGTGTGACAAAACCATTTGTGCCTTTCACGTGTTACCTGCCTGCCCTGATTTATGATGAAATTATGGGTTGCCTTGACAAGATCACATGAGTAGTATAATATGTTTGATTTTCTTAAGTGGAGGCTGAAATGTTTGTTAGGAGAGGGTGGTTTGGAACCTCCTGTTAAACTCTTAACAGCTGATTGCGCCTTCAGAATTACACCATCACAAAGATGTTGGAGCAAGGCAGAAAAGTGCAGTATTAATGTGGTCACACATTTTATCTGTAGTCTATCAAGTTGGATGACAAATCTGGGTCATCCTGGGACAATCAATACAGTGAACTTTACTTATTGAGCCTTGGGATCAGTGTGAGGCCCCATGGAAGTAACATCAGTTAAAGCAGGTAACTGGGATTTTCTTGATTTGCCGTATACTCAAGACTCCTGTGTCTTTATTAGTAGGACAGGATTTTTAATTTAATATTTTTTTTTTCTTTTGAGATGACCTGACTCCAAAGGGATGCTAATCTTATCAGTGCTTTCTGAATGTCTCCACGCAGCCCAGCCTGCCTGGCCTGTCACCTGGCTAGATGAAGACTTATTTAATTACACCAAGGAAGGCTTTAGGGTGACTAAGACACACTTGGTTAGTATTGTTTCCTTACATGCAGGTGTGGATGAAAATATCTTTTGGGGAAGAGGGAAATGGCTTCATGGTTGAGAGTGCTTGCCGCTCTTGCAGGGGACAGGAGTTCAGTTCCCAGCACTCACCTCAGGTGGCTCACAGCTAGAGGCATGCAAGCATATGTATACATACACACACACATACAGAGAGAGAGAGAGAGAGAGAGAGAAAGAGAGAGACTTCTCTATTTATAGTGTTACTTCCTTTATGTTGAAGGTAAAATTAATGTTTTATTCTCTATCCTACATTTATCTAATTAACTCCCAAACTTAGCCTTTGCTTAAAATATATTTGACGATTTTCTTCTTTCCATTTTTGTTAATGTGGTTTCTAGGATTAAAGAGATAATTGACTCAGTAAGCCCTTCCCTAGGGAAGCCTTTTCTAATTCTCTTATTCCCACTGTTGTTAGTTAATGCTTACACTTATACACCCAGCTGCCCCATATTACATTGTATTTGTTACTTTGTCAGTTTATTTTTACTTATTTAGTCAAGGTCTGACTGTGTAGCCGTGGCTGGCCTGGATGGACTCAACTGTGTAGACCATGTTGAGCTTGCATGAGTAGAGGTCCGCCTGCTTCTGGCTCCTAGTGCTCAGATTAGAGACACACATCTCACCCAGTAGCTGCAGGTAGATTTCACAGTGTTAGTTCTGGCGTTATCCTAAGACAGCACACCCATTAACGTACCTGATTAACTAAAATCCAGCTAATGTACATTTACACAGAAATCTGAAGTTCATTTGAATCTGTCATTAAATTGTATAATGGAATACAGTCAGAAATGTTAGAATATGGCTTTTACAATCTGAAATTTTAACTACTTGTTGGATAATCTTAAGGAAGTAAAATTGGTAAAAATCAAAGTTAACAATAGACACGAAGTAAAAAACAAAACAAAACAGCAAACAAACTAAATCTGAGAGACATAGGATCTTCATAATTCAAATAGGAGTCTATACATTATTACTTGCTAATAATTAAATGTGTATCACTTTAGGCCAATTTTATCATAGTTTTTGGGAAGTACTTCTGCCTCATACTTAGGAGATTTACTATCTTTATGAATATAACATGTATACATAAACACACACATATACACATACACACATATACACAATTTTTTTGAGATAAGATCTTACTTGGTGAAGCCCATGCTGGTCTGGAACTCATTATGTAGACTAGGTTGGCCTTGAACTCAAAGCAATCCTCCTGCCTCAGCCTCCTGGATGCTATAATTGCAGGGATGAATCACCATACCCTACAGCTTCAACTATTTTAAAGATGCTTATCTGTGCCTACATATATATATATATATGTATATATACACATATATACATATATATGTGTGTACATGTGTACATATATGTATACCCATATGTAATTTAAAATGTATTTTCAGAATATCTTTTGATTTAGATGAGTTGTGTTTCTGTTTTCAGAAATTTTATATGACTAATAACCATGTTTTATAAACTTCTGTACAAAAATTAAAATTGTATGTACAATAAAATAATTATTCCCATTATTTATTCCTTTGTTTATACAGTTACTGTCATAGCTTACAGGAGACTACTAGGACTGTCATTAAAGAGTAACTTCTTTTCCTCTCTTCTTCGTATAGAGTATGGGGCTCTGGTTCAGTCTTGGCCGTTCAGCCCAACTTCCTGTTTTTCTATGCACATGTCAGAATCATAGATTTTCTTTTCTTTTCTTTTCTTTCCTTTTTTTATTTTTGGTTTTTTGAGACAGAGTTTCTCTGTGTGTAACCCTGGCTGTCCTGGAATCACTCTGTAGACCAAGCTGGCCTCCAACTCACAGAGATTTGCCTGCCACTGCCTCCTGAGTGCTGGGATTAAAGGCATGCTCTCCACCACTGCCTGGCTATAGGTCTTTGTTGTTGTTTTTAATCAGAGGGTTGTAAAATCTTTCATTTTTCAATACTGTGTAGTAAACCCAGGGTCTTGTGTACATTGGGAAAGAACTGTACCACTGAGCCAACTGTATTCTTCACCCCCCCCCTTTAGTTTTTCTTTATTTTGAGACAGGATTTTGCTAAATTGCCCAGGCTTACCTTGAATTTAGTTGATTCTTTTGCCTCAGTCCCATGAGTAGTTGGGTTTATTGACAGAGACTACTGTATCAAGCTAAATCAGTAATTTTGAGATGAGGATGACTGTTGCAGTTTTCATAGGACTGGTTAGTGAGTACAATACTAAGTCCATGATTCTGGCAATTAGCTGAAATGAAATTGAAACTTGAAATGAGCATCCTTTTACTTGTCTTTAAACTTTTTACTAATTAAAAAAAATGCTTTTTACTAATTCAGGGTCTTATGTCCTATTTTTAGGACATATGGTAAATATAAAAATAGAATCGTGATCAAATATATTGCTCAGGTCATTGAATATAAATATGTCACATGAATAAAACTTGTTTTTGATTATTTAGTGTATCTCAAGCAAACTACACTGTGCAGAAGAATGACTCAGGACAAGGCTGGGGATGTAGCTCAGTAGAGTGTGTTCCTAAGTTGAACAAAGCACTGGGTTTGATTTCTAGCATGGCATAAACCGGTCATGGTGATATTGGCTTATAGCTCCAGTACTCAGGAGGTGGAGGTAGGAGGATTGGAAACGAGGTCATCCTTTGCAGCATATTGCATTTGAGGCCAGCCCGGGCTACATGATGCCCTTTCTCAAGGAAATATCTAGAACAAAATGTTATGGACGGGCCAAGTAAAACCATGGAAAGACACAACAAGAAGTATGGATGAAGATCTTATATCAGACAGTGCAGAGCTCAACCTAGACTACACAGTGAGGCCCTACCCAAAGTACTCTCCAGAACCAAAGACCGAAAAAGTAACTAATAATTCCCCCCAATAAAAACAAGGTGTAAATGAGAGAAGGAATTGTTAATAATGATGAGTCAATTCTGAATAGTTATAATAGTTATGACTATAAACCAAGTAACTTACCACCACCTTCATATTAAAGATACCTTCCTAAGTTCTAAGTTTTTTTTATCACAAAAATTTTGTGGGGTAATACGTATGTTAATTTGTTTAAGTTATCCTTTCTACAGTGTATACATTTCCCCAAATA